AAAAAAAAAAAAAAAAAAAACCAGAAACAAACAAAAAAACCCAGACTTTTTTTAGGAAAAATAAATTAGAAGAAATGGAGGCCATGTAATAAAAATGAAGTTGATGTAAAAATTCATCAAAAAATAGAAGCCCAAGAACTCTGTTTAAAATATGAAGGTAACTGTCGCAACAAACAGATTGAAGAGTGAAATGTGATTGTATTTAGGGAGTTGAACTGGGGGCGGGGCAGGAATTGGGCAGGGACCTGCTGATTTTCTTTATAACATTTGTTTTTATTTTTATTTTTTTGTATATGTATACATTACATGGGAAAATATTTTTAAAATAAAGATTTTCTAAAAAGATTAGAAATGAAAACAAACCCTATCAGACAGCATGGATACTGATAAACACAAGAGTACATTAGCCAGTTGCCTTCCGGACCCCATCCCTCTCCATCACACCACGTCCCCTGCACCTGGAAAAGGTAATCACTGAAATGCACCCCAGCTCCTGCAGGCCAGTCCACGCTCTAGGACCCTCAACTTCTGTCCTCCTTCTCCCACACTCGGATTCCTTTGAGTGTCTTCTTGGCCTTTGAACATTTAGTATTGTCTTCCATTTTTATCCTTTCTCTGACTTGAGAGCAGAATTTGGCTTCTACAGGTTTGTTTTGAGAAAGGGTCTAGCTCTGTCACCGAGGCTGGAGTGCAGTGGTGTGATCTTGGCTCACTGCAGCCTTGACCTCCCTGGCTCAAGCGATCCTCCCACCTCAGCCTCCCAAGTAGTTAGGATTACCAGCACCCACCACCACACCCAGCCAGTTCTTGTATTTTTTTGTAGAGATGGAGTTTTTCCATGTTGCCCAGGCGGACCTCAAACTCCTGAGCTCAAGCAATCTGCCTGCTTTGGCCTCCCCAGGGATTAATCCCAAAGTGCTGGGATTACAGCCATGAGCCACTGCACCTGGCCTTGTTTTGTTTGTGAGTTGGTGTCTCACTGTGTCACCCAGGCTGGAGCACAGTGGTGTGATCACAGCTCACTGCAGCCTCGAACTCCTGGTTTCAAGTGATCCTTGCTCTTTGGCCTCCCAAAGTGCTGGAGCTACAGGCACATGCCCCCATGCTTGGCTTTGGCTTCTACGGTTTTGACCTTAGGGATGTCCCAGGTATATGGCTTACGTATACATTCTAGCTTCAGTAGGAAACTCATGCTGCTTGACAGAACCTGGTACCCAGAACAATTCCAATAGCATCAAACCACCAGAACAGGACATTGTTCCCTCAAAGGGACTTGAACACACCTGGACAAAATGTCTTCTACATACGATGCTGTCCTGCCCCCCCCAGACACCGCCTTCAGGGTAGAGACACCTGTTCCCCCAGCTGCCATGAGTGGTAGCTGCCACAGGCTCACAGAGCATGGCTGAAGCGAGCTACTTTGCCCATCTGTCCCCCTCCCTGGGGATCTCACATTTGAAGACTGGTCAATGGGCGCAGCTCCCTTGTCTCAATCTAGGGGGACTCTGGAGAGCCCTCAGTGCGAGCTGCCTGTGGGGTGGGCAGAGTCTCTTCTGGAGACGGCATCACCATCTAGCTTCTTCCTCTGATTGAACCTGCTTGTCTCCCTGCTGTCTGGTGTTTGTCCCCAAATCTGCTCCTAATAAACTTTTCTGTGCAAATCTTAGTCTAAGAGTCTTTTTCCTGGGGAACTTGACCCAGCAGACTGTTGTTAATGGTCCAGGAAAACAGGCTGCAAAGGGGATTTTAGGGCTAGGCCACTCTCCAGGTGGCTGGCCCTGAGCATCCCATCGCTGGTGGAAAGGTGGTGTTTTGAAAGCCCCTGGCATACTATGGCTGATGTGTACTTGTTAAAACCTCACTGGCCGTGAATCGGGATGGAATACAGGTGGAAAGGAATATTGTGGTTGGTGTACTTGACTGGGGAGAAGGGAGGGGTAATTACAAATATTACAGGGTAGACGGCTATTGTTGGATGGTACGGTTGCATTTGAAGAAGGCAAGGAAGGCTGAGGGTGGTCATCACCAATATAAAGCAAAGTATCAGAGTCAGAGGCCCTTGTTAGCATAAGAAGGATCTCCTTTCCTATAACCTAAGGGCCAGGATTCCCAGGGCCTGACCGTCAGGGTGGCAGAGCTCTAGAGCAGGCTGAATTCTCAAGCCGGGCTGGTCTTCTATCCAGGGAAGGAGGGAGGCTCTGACACTTGGGATGTGGATGTCTGGGTAGAGACACACTGGAGACCTGGAATGCTCAGGTCCACAGGAACCCTCTGGGTCTACAGACACGGTGCACCACTCCCCAGCAAGGCTAGCTTTCCTCCTCTGCCTTGCAAGGCAATGTATGCCCTGCCTCAGGACCTTCCCCCAGTACCCTCCTGGCCACAAGATCAATAAGGAGGGTCATATTACAACTTAGCCTGTGTGGGAAAGTGCTATCCTGCTTGTTCCCAAAGGAGCTGCAGAATCAGCCATCCTGAAGCAGTGGGAGCCCAGGGTGCACATATGGGACTGAGCCCAGAGGACACTGGATTAAGGGAGGGGAATGTGAAGTTGGATTTGGGAGCATTTATTACAACAGAAATATTCCCCCAGGACACAGGCTTTAACAGCCTGGCCAAGATCCTGGGTGCAAAATAAAGATTCATTGACTGAATAAATAACACTTTACATGTGAAATATTTGATTATGCAAATTAAAAGTATCAAATATATAAAGAAGAAGGCAAATTCTAACTAGGGAAAATGGTGGATTAGGACACCTGAAAAGAGAATAAAGCTTTAATTTACATTACCACTGTATCTCCCTATTAAATATCTCAATTTTAAAGTTATCTAAAGTTAATTTCCATGTTAACTTTCTCCAAAAACCAAAAGCAATCAGAAACTAGTTAAAAACAGTAGGTGACGGGAGACAACCGATGTAATATACAAATATACACATGTATTAATATGATACTGATAGCAACAGGAGACAGACAAATTCCTAGGCAGAGAGGGGCAGGTCCGCAGTGAAATCCAGCCTTCAAGCCAAAGACAGCTTAAAGCCTGAAAACGGAGCTGCCAGAGTCTACGACTGGAGTGAGAACTTCCTTGATGTGTTCTTTCTAGACCCACCTGGAAGGAGTGGTGCTCTTTCCAGCACGCACGCCCCCATTCTGATCCCATCAAAACCCTGGACACAGCCACACGTTGGGACTACCCACCTTTGGGCCCCCTCTCACTCAGAGGGCGACTCACTTCGGATCCCCTCTCCTATCAAGAGCTGTTCTGCCTTGCTCACTCTCCAGTGTCTGTGTAACCTCATTCTTCTTGGATATGGAACAAGGACCTGGGACTTGCCGAATGGTGGGTGCAAAAGGAGCTGTCACGCTGTAGCCCTCCCACCCTCTGCCAGTGCCAGGCGGCCAGCCCACGAGACAGGAAGTGATGGTGGGGCTGGGCCAGCCCAGGGGGCCAGAGTGGGATGGTGGGACAGAATGAGCTGCAGCACAAATGAGCTGAAACACACCACTTGCACTGTTTGCAGCCACACAAACGAGCCACAACACACCCTTCTCCCTGACCTGGTTCGCCATGCTGCAGGTGGCAAGAAGGAGAGAAAGAGTCGTAACAGTCCCTGGGGGCTCAGACCTTGGGATCCCCCCAGGTTAGAGCCATAACACCCCTTGGGGCTCCGTGGTTGCTGGAATCTCTGAGTTTTCAGGCACCACCACCATGTTCCCCCTCATCTAGATGGTGGTGCCCAAGGTGGAAGATGGGTGCGGCACACCCAGGCCAGACATGGGCTAAGCGCAGAGTGGTTGTGGGTGTGGAATCTAGGCCGGTAGTGTAAGGAGCACGGCCTGCTGGGTCGAGTGGGCAGAGCGAGCCCAGAGGTGAGCCCAGAGCTGCGTGAGGCCCCAGCGGAGGTGCTGGGCCAGTTGCAGAGATTTCCAGCTCGCAAAGTGGCACTGAAAGAATCCTGTGTCAATAGGATTATTACTGAAAAATGAATTATTCTCTAGAAAGATTCTAATACATCAGGAAAACTTGGGGGGAATTCTGTTTAGATGTGAACACTTTTGAGCATATCCCCAACTCCCTCAATTTTCTTATTTACTAATATGAGCTCTTATATTACGTTTTCTCTGGGACAAACACCTCACCTCCCAACCCACCCGCTATACTCCCACAAAACACAGAAAACCCCTCCTACCAAGAGATCAACCTAAGAGGTCTGCAGTCGGCTTTTGGACCTTGTGTCTTCAGAAGAAAACTATGTTCAGTTATTTTCTTCACTAAAAGACGCGGAATTCAATGCTAGAAAAGCACAGAATTTGTAAAATATATTTCAATGAGGATTCATAAGTATAGCAAATAAAATTTTAAGTGCATTAAAGATACTTAGCAGATGACTAAAAGAATCCTGTAGAGAAAAGGATGCAGCTAATAGTCACCAATATGCCCCCCACACCCCAAAACCCTAGCCTAAATCTGCATCAGACTTTTCCCTCCTTCCCTCCTTCCTTCCTTCCCTCCTTCCTTCCTTCCTTCCTTCCTTCCTTCCTTCCTTCCTTCCTTTCCTTTCCTTTCCTTTCCCCTTTCCTTTCCCCTCTTTCCTTTCCTTCTTTTTTGACAGGGTCTCGCTCTGTTACGTACATTGGAGTGGAGTGGCTCAGTAATAGCTCACAGCCCCACCCTCCCAGGCTCAAATGATCCTCCTCTCTCAGCCTCCCAAGTAGCTGGGACTACAGGTGTGTACCACCATGCCTAATTTTTCTTTTTTTTTAATAGAAATGAGGTCTCGCTATATTGCCCAGGCTGGTCTCAAACTTTTGAGCTCAAATGATCCTTCTGTTTTGGCCCCACAAAGTGCTGGGATTACAAGCATGAGCCACTGTGCCTGGCCAAGTTTTTAAAAATATATGAGTCTATCAAGTCAGGAAAACATGACCATACATTAGATAATATCATAACTAATTTTTCTGTAAATAATCAACACTTTTTCCCTGTGGTTTTTTTTTTTTTTTTTTTTTTTTTTTTTTTTTTTTTTTTTTTTTTTTTTTTTTTTTTTTTTTTTTTTTTGAGACAGTTTCACTTATCCAAGCTGATCTTGAACTCCTGGACTCATGTGGTTCTCCCATGTTAGCCACCCAGTAGCTGGGATTACAGATGCCAGCCACCATGCCCAGTTTAAAATCCGCATTTTTTAACCCCTAGCTTTCCTAGGACCATCTTAATACTGATCTCCGTACAAGAGCTAGGACTTTATGACACTGCTAAGGGCTTTTTTCTCCTATTGATTTTTTTTCAGATAAGTAATACATTCACTGTATAAATAGTAAGAGCATAAAGACATGTATAATGAAAACTTTTCCTATTTTTCATGAACTGAAGCCATTACAATGCCCAGTCCACTTTTAGGGTGGTGTAACCAGCTTGAAAGCTACTCCTCTTTTAAAAAGTAAAATAAATCTTAATTCTAATCCCTAGAGCCAGCATCTCCTTCCAAACACAGTGATTGGATGTGCTGCTTCTGCTGATTCCAAGTGAAAGAGGTTTCCCCCCATCTTTGTCCCACTTCTGACACGTGGAGCTCACCTCACTTACCGCTGAGATAATTGCAATGGCTGCTTTGTAACTGCTGTACTTTCCAAGCGGAGTCACAGGTGAAATGAGACAGGGGTCTGAGCTGAATGAACTGAGAGATGGGAAGTTTTTTTTAGATAGGAGGCTTTATGGTGGCTGGGTTCCAAGCAGATACCTGGTTGTGCTGGGTTGCTGGACCACACAGTAGTACTCAAAAGGCAGTGCAGGCCACCTCACAAAGCCTGATGACATCACACAGCACGTCACAGCCCCCAGGCAGCCCCTGCCTGTAAGCTCCAACCAGCAGGTGGAATCCAGAGGTTCCAAGGTCCACAGGGTCCTCACCCCTCCACTGAGAAAATAGGGAAAGTCTCAAGGTGAGGTCCAAATCCAGGGTGACTCTCCTTCTCTAGGCAAGGCCTGATTTTTAGCATTTTTGAAATAAACTTAAGAAAAAGAACAAGCTTTCAGAAAACATGAAGAAACTTAAAGATGAGCCAAAGGGTTGTTTGACTGCCTTTTAGTTCTCTGGTCTCCATGACTCAACGTTTAGACGTCAGTACACAAGTTCAGCCAAATGCTTGTGAAATTTCTTCTGAACTCATCCGAGGAGACTTGACCCTCCCGACTTGAGGATTCTGACTGCTTTGCCTGACACCAGACAAACTCTGCCTCAGGGTCTGTGAGTGGAAGGGGGATGGGTGGGACCTCCTGCAGCCTCTCTGGGGCAGACACGATGAGCAGTAGTGACTTCCTGGGGCAGATACTGAAACTGCGCCAAGGAGTTAATCCCAGGACGAGCACATTTTTGAGGTAAGAGAAGCAACCAACCTGTGGAAACACTGAAACTCCGTCTGCTTGTGAGATAACAAAATGGCAGGAACCAGTTGGAACCAATATGGCCAACTGGAGTTTCTGCAGAAGGAGCTTGCTGGTGTCACGGCCCCGATTTCCACGTGTTTCATGCTAGCTGCCCTGGAATTTAATTTGCACACGGGACCCACGAGGAGGCATGAAGAGATAACTGCGCATGTCTGAGGACTTCCCAGAGCTCCCCTCTCCTTCCACCAGTCTCCTGCAAATCCTGGAACCCACCCTCTAACCCTTTTCTAATAAATGATTTCCTTAAAGGCAGCACAGAGAGACAGGTTGGAGCTGGACTCCTGTGTCCTTGTTGGTCAACTTGCAAAGAAAGCTTTTCTTTTCTCTAAAACCCGGTGTGTCAGTATAGACTTCTGGTGCATAGGTCAGTGACCTCTTTTGCTTGGTAACAACATGATGGACTATAATGACATCCTGGGGCAGACAGGTGGGCATGAATGACGCCCAAGCCAAGCTCCTGAGCCTCCTTTCTGCAGGCTGGATGGGAAGGTCCTTCTTGCCTGTTAATAATATTAAAAATAAGCTTTTATTCATAATAGCCCCAAACCAGAAAAAACCCAAATGTCCGTTGGTAGGAGAATGGACCCACTGTGGCATATGCATATAATGCAATGCAAACCAGCAGTGAAAAACACCAAACTACAGCTGCGTAAACAGGGATGCATCTTGCAGGCGTGGTGTGGAGCCGAAGCAGCTCATGGGAGTGCACGATTCTATTTCTGTGAAGTTTCTGCAGAAAGAGAGCTTGCTGATGTCACAGCCCGAATTCCCACAGCATGTGGAAGGCAGCAAGAAAAGGCAAAGCGACCTAAAGTGACAGAGCAGTTTATCTGTCAGTAACCAGCAGCCCTGTGTGGGAACCAGAAACAGGGTTGCTGGTTACCGAGAGGAAGCAAGAGCCCTAGAGTGCCAGAATGTTCTGTGTCTTCTTGATCTGGGAGAGGGCGAAGGCTTCATGGAGCGTACTTATGCAAAAGTGCGTAGGGCTGGTCAATGAAAATATGTATACTGCACTGTACGTATGTCATATCCTCAAAACACGAAGGAAAAAAAGTGAGTCAACACAACTTTAGGACAAAGATTTTATTGTGGGAGTTTTGCAACCATTATATGGTTTGGTTGCTGAAATAAAGTAAACTCTTTCTTTCTGAGAAAGGTGCATATACACCATGTTTAAAGACAAGAGTTCGAATTGTGTTTGTTTATATTTATATTTATTTATTTGAGACAGAGTCTTGCTCTGTTGCCCAGGCTGGAGTGCAGTGGTGTGATCACGGCTCACTGCAGCCTCACCTCTCAGGCTGAAGCGATCTTCCTGCCTCAACCTCTTAAGTAGCTGGGACCACAGGAATGTGCCACGACACACACCCAGCTAATTTTTAAATTTCATATTAGTTTTTGTAGAGACAAGACCTCACTATGTTGCTCAGGCTGGTTTTGGATTCCTGGGCTCAAGCTACTCTCCCGCCCTGGCCTCCCAAAGTGCTGCAATTACAGGCATGATCCACTGTGCCCAAACTTTCTTTTGAGTAGGAGTCTCGTTCTGTTACCCAGGCTGGGGTGTAGTGGTGCAATCTCGGCTCAGTGCAACCTCCGCCTTCTGGGTTCAAGCAATTCTCCTGTCTCAGTCTCCCGAGTAGCTGGGACTACAGGTGCACACCACTGTGCCCAGCCAATTTTGTGTAGTTAGTAGAGACGGGGTTTCACCATGTTGGCCAGGCTGGTCTCGAACTCCTGACCTTGTGATCCACCCGCCTTGGCCTCCCAAAGTGCTGGGATTACAGGCATGAGCCACTGCGCCTGGCCTGGAACTTTATTTTTTAATTGAGATATTACATACCATACAATGCACCTTTCATCCATGTTGTGGCATTTGTCAGTATTTCATTCCTTTTTATGGCTGAATAATGAGCCGTTGTTTGAAAATACCACATTTATTTATCTGTTCATTAACTGGTGAATATTGAGGTGCTTTCCACTTTGGGGCTGTTTTAAATAGTACTGCTATGAATATTCATAGACACGTGTTGTGTGGACATAAGTTTTCAGTTCTCTTGAGTATATACGTAAGAGTAGTATTGCATCTGGTAACTCTATGTTTAATTTTTTGAGTAATTGCCAGACTATTTCATAAAGCAGCTGCATCATAGAATTTTTATTTCCAAGATTTTTCCCAAGGGGGAGGAAAACAGCTCGTGAACAGCCCCTCCTTAGGGCTTGCCCTACAGATTTCACACTCACTTTGCCAGCCCCTATCATTTTGCACCAACCAATTCCTGGCATACGCTTCTTTATATGTATCTCCTACTGCTTCTGCTTCTCAAGTTAACTGAACTTACGCTTTCTCAAGTGTAACTAAACCCTTTAAAAAAAATACAGAACCACTGGGCTTAGTGGCTCATGCCTGTAATCCTAGCACTTTGGGAGGCCAAGGTGGGCAAGTCATGAGGTCAGGAGTTCGAGACCAGCCTCGCCAACATGGTGAAACCCTGTCTCTACTAAAAATACAAAATCAATAATTGATTAATTCATATGTTCTAAAATATTATTTATTGTCAACCATATTGTTTGTTTAGTCTTTGTCAAGAACAAGATTTGAAGTCCATTTTAAAATAAAAGTGCCATTTTTTAATAGGACACACATATATAGTCCTAGCTACTCAGGAGGCTGAGGCAGGAGAATTGCTTGTACCCGGGGGGCGGAGGTTGCAGTGAGTGGAGATCGCGCCACAGCACTCCAGCCTGGGCGACAGAGCAAGACTCCATCTCAAAAAAAAAAAAAAAAAAAAAGAAACCTAGAAAGTTCCTGTATGTCCGTTCCCTGTCAATGCTCATTACCATCTGGCACCACAAGCAAGCACTATTCTGATTTTATTTAGCATATATTAGTTTCTTCCTGCTGTAGAATTTCATGTAACTGAAAGGATATGATATATGGTACGAAACCTTGCATAAGGTTTCTTTCATTCAGCATATTTTTGAGACTTATTGTTTCATGCATCAGTAGTTTACTTTTTATTGATGAGTAGTTTTTTACCATTAAAATCATATGGTTTGTTTATTCATTATTTTGTTCATGAATAGCTGGGTATTTTAGTGTGCTCAGGCTGCCATACAAAATACTACAGACTTGGTGGTTTAACAACCAAAATTTCCTTCCTTTCTTCCCTCCCTCCCTCCCTCGCTTCCTTCCTTCCTTCCTTCCTTCCTTTCTTCTCTCTCTTTCTTTCTTTCTTTTTTGAGATGGAGCCTCATTCTGTCATCCATACTGGAGTGCAGTGGCACCATCTCAGCGCACTGCAATCTCTACCTTCTGGATTCAAGCGATTCTCCTGCCTCAGCCTCCCAAGTAGCTGGGATTATAGATGTGGCCAATCATGCCCAGCTAATCTTTGTCTTTTTAGTAGAGATGGGGTTTCACCATGTTGGCCAGGCTGGTCTTGAACTCTTGACCTCGTGATCTGACCCCCCGCCCCCCGCCGCCACCTGCCTCTCAAGTACTGGGATTATAGGCATGGGCCATCACACCTGGCCTGAAGTTAATTTCTCATAGTTCTGGAGGCTGCAAGCCCAAGATCAAGCTGCCGCAGTGTTGGATTTCTCTGAGGACTCTCTCTTTGGCTTGCAGGCGGCCACCTTCTTGCTGCGTCCTCACATGCTCTTTCTTAGGTGTGCACACACCCATGGGGTTCTCTCTGTATGTGTTGTAATTTCCTCTTCTTAAAAGGGCACTGATCAGATTATATTAAGGCTCACTCTAACAACCCCATTTTAACTTAATTACCTCTTTAAAGGCCCCATCTTCAAATACCGCCAGTACCATTCTAAGGTACTAGGAGTCAGGATTTCAACATATGAATTTGGTGGGGCGCAATTCAGTCAATAGCATCACACTGTTTCCAGTTTGGAGCCTTTACAAATAAAGCTGTTCTGAAATTCTCGGACACATTTTTCTATGGCACCAGGTCAAACTGAATGACATCATCAATATGGCAGGACAGCATGATGTGCTGTGGAAGGTCCGGATGAGCACTGTACCTGCAGAGCACATGTGACAGAGAGCAGAGGGTTAGCACAGCCTGGGGAAGTCTAAGTGCCATCCCTACCACGTAGGGGCAGACTATTTCATTGATGGGGACCAAGAAGAATGAATTTTCCAGAATAATTGCTCTATACCAAGTGCCAAAGCCTTGTTGCTACTCTCCACTGAAGGCGCACACCTGCAGTTGGAGCTACCACCTGATTAAGTTTAAAACAGTTACTGTCATTTGCAACAGTCCATTTGATTTTTATAGGGGCCT